GGTAACTTCCGGGTTTAGTACCACTTAAATAGACAACCAAAAGTTGCACATATGGCTAGATTGTAACTTCTAAATATATACAAAAAAGTAGCCAAAATCTGTCAATATGCGGTGAGGCATATATACTCAATAAAAGCCAACAGCAGAGAAGCCACCTTAAACCCAAAAAAAAAAAAAAAAGCAAAAGCACTATAGATATATTTTATAATAAATGTTTATAAAAACAAAACTAAATAATTTCAAAATTTATTTATTCTTATTGTTATTTATATATTCAAATACATATTTATAAAATAAAAATAAAATATATCTAATATATCTATATAAATAAAAAAGTAATCTATATATTATATATATATTTAATCAATCATATTAATATCAGTATTTAAATCAAATAAATCATCATTAATATAATTATTCTTAGTTTCATTTATATTTGTATTTTCACAATTCTCAATTTCATCTATATTTTTATTATCATTTGTTTTCATAGACTGCATTCTTAAATTACCATATATATAAACCAATTTTTTTACCTATTCATTTTTTAGTCGATTTCTGACCTTTGAATGAATAAATCCAAAATTTGAATAATTTCGCTCTGCAGAAGCAGATGATGTTGGAATAGATAAAGTACGGATTGCAAATTTTTGAAGTTCAGTAGAAGGCCAAGAAGTCCACCAAGTTGCTGAATTAACGAGAGTTGCTGAGTTCCAGATAATCAAATTATTATATGATGTCTGTTTATTACGAAATTTTAATAGTTCAGCATATATTTTAGATGCTTCATCAGCAGAATATTTTAAAGCAATAAAATCTGCAAATGTAGTTAGACAAATAGATTTATCTTTCTTGCTTTCTTCAAAATAATGTGGATCTAAAATGTATGCAATAGTCATTATAGGATGATATATATAATTCCAGCAGGTTTGAATATTTTGTTAAATCGTAGTAGAATAGCTACATTCAATTTTTTGTATTTCTAATAAAATAGTATTAAAACGAGAATAAACTGTTGAAATAGTAGAGTTATTACTTTCAAATACTTTTAATGTAGAAATAATTGGCTTAAGAATTTTAATAATTGTATTAAGCTCAACCCAAAATGTATTAGATTGTAATCGTGTTTTAAGATCTAAATTTAAAGTTGCTACACTAGGATCAAAAAGCATTTGTTGAATTGCTGTTTGTGATTTCATAAGGAATTTTATACAATCTAAATGTGTTCCCCATCTAGTAAGTGCAGGAAGAACAAGTGCAATTTCTTTTTTATAATTTTCTTTTTGAATACGCCGTAATTTAACCATTGCTATATTATAACTTTTAAAAAATTTAACAATTGTTTTTGAATCTTCGATAATTGATTTAATTTCATCAATTTGTATAATATCATTAA